ACTGTGTATGGACATGTTTGTTATCTTCTGACTGAGAAGAGGAAGGGGAAGTTTCTTTTTGGATACGTCATTCCCAGTTTCCTTCTCAGGACCACGTACCCATAACAATAAAATATTTCAGTTTTTCAGTCACTTATGATTAGTTCCAAATAATTTTATGCTCCTTCCTTAGTAATATTAATAACATCTTTGTTTATTAACACAGTTTGGCGTTCATTTTTTTTGTATTGTCCAATGTACATCCGGTATATGTTGCTTATCAGTGAATGGTATGCTAAGTAAATAACCATTGGCACGTTGTCCAAAAAGGTGACGTATAAATACATCGGTCATGAGGCGCGTGCTGACTGGAAGCATAAACTGATGATCAAAGGATCTGGTGCAGTTACGCCCGACATGGGAGCATCTCAGTGACGTCTCCAACATATCGTTCACATCGATTATCGACACAGTCTTGTAAATTTATGGATATATTCGGTTATTCATGTTGTGAAGCTGACTTAAGTATGGACTTTGTACAGGATTTAGTCATTTCAGTCCGGTTTATTGGCTCTTTTTTGTGGAAAGCATAATTCGCACTGGCTGTTTTCTATACGTTGCTGTTATTTCCAACATCATATATCTAAAACAACATCAGCTTATCTCAACACATCGTCCTGCTAAATATGCACCTATCATTTGAATTTTGTATCTGCAGGCCCTCTTTCTTTTTTTGTGATGCTGAGTTTGGTGTCTTTCGTTGGGATGCTTTGTATGATTGTCGGTTGTCTCAACGCCCTTTTTGTCGAAATCGATGAGCCAAGATCTCGTTTTATTCTTGCATTTCTCATCAAAAGTCTTCCAATTTTTCTTCCTTTTTGGCTACAGGACAGCTTTCGGTATTGGTCAGAAAAATGTCACTTTTTGAGCGCCAGTTGCCCGCTGGCAGAGCTGTTGACGACATTCTTTCCTAAAAACCAAACCAAAATTATCGAAGGGGTTTGGGAAGCACGTTGCATTTTTTTTCATCGATGTCATAATTTTTCTTGGAATTTTTTATTTCTGTGTCTTTCATAACTCCGTAACAGCGTTTTTTACCTATAGATTTTCCATCGTATTTTTTTTTCCAGAAATCACGCGTATTTGTTTATGGGTCGATTTGCTGGCGACGAGTGGGGCAGCTTAAAGTTCATGATTCGGGCCGGCTGGAAACTGGGCTGTGGCGTTGCGGCGGCAGTGATTGTCATCGAAGAGTCCTATTCATATTGGAAATACGGTTGTACTCATTGGGGAAGGCAGCATCATTAGGATACTTCGCTTTTTTTATTTTTCGTGCTGTTTGCTTCATTTTTTGAGAAGTATAATTTCTGTTTTAAACATATTAGGAGATGGTAAGGGATGAAGCAGCCTGTGTTTCATCTCTTATACGTAAACACAGACTAAACAGAGCATGCGAGCAAGAGTGGGAATCATCAGTACAGCTTTCTGCCAGCCATGTTTATGATAAGCTTATCCAGTTGTTTAAGACTAAAGTAAAGAGAAGATATTGGACAAGACGTGAAAATGGAGATGAAAGAGGAGGATTTAAGAGCAAAAGAGTGCTAAATTAGCTGTCTGCATCCTGCGATCCAGGTTGGGACATTTGGTCAGTTAGCCATTAAATGTGCTAACGGATTCGCCCTGCGCATGGAGGTCATAATATGTTTCCTTGTGAAATGTCAAGTAAGAAGTGATGCCATTAATTTTTTGATTTCATTATCCCCAGGAAAAATAAATTTATTAAGAACAACTCCGTAGTTAAAATTGAACCTGGCAACCGACCTTCTATCCCAGTGTTATCGAAATCTCTGCATCTGTTTACGTGTACTAATTGCTTGACCCACCACTTAAATCTGTCAAAGTTCAATTCATGCATGACAGAGCAGTTGTGATACTATAATAACCTCATCATGGGCAACATGGTTATATCGCTTTTTGGGTATCCGCCTTCGTTTACAGTGAATAGTCTAAAGTCTTGTACAACAAGACCCACTATTACATTTGATTTCAAGGTCAGAGGAGCAAAGCCTCTTCCCAAAGTAAATAGTATTGGAGTCCATAAATTTCACCAAGATGGGTCACCTCAGTAATAGAACAACTGGCCAGCGCACCGACTGCCGTTGCGAAGATGCGTTTTTTTGCACGGTTTCCCGGTTTTTTTCGCTAACGGCATTGTTTTTTCTGCAAATGCTTCCAGCTAAAAGAATTGAGGCTGGCTACCATGACTGTGAGAAAACATTCCCCTAAAATTTCAGCTTTCTAGTTTTTTTGGTTCCCGAGTTAACAACTCCCGCCAAAAACTTCGACGGGCCCGTTTACGGGAATCACGTGAGCAAGAGCGCGCATTTTGGAGTGAGGGCTATACATGCATATAGATTAACTTCCCAAATTTTAACCTTG